AGTGGGCTAATTAATGAAAACCCCTAAAACTAGCCACCTATTGATAAGTATGAATTTGTGTTTATTTAGCTAGGCAATAAATAAATTATGGCATATTCATATGCCTTTTAAATCTATTTACCACATATTACAACACAGATAAATTGGCATCTTTTTAACTGATGTCTTTAGAATACCAAGATCAATATAAAAATTTATAGACCAAGTTGTTGATCATTGTTACAAACGCGATAATACCGTTACGGGTATACTCATTAATAAGCGCAGACAACGCCGCGGCTGTAAGCTAGTATAAAATAAACCGTTTCAAATTTTACGCGCATCAAATAAGATACCCGCCTGTGCTTTAGGGCAGTGAAGCGAGACTAGGACCCCGTTTGTGTGTCCGTTATAATCTACAATGTTTAAGTCCACTCATACTACCTAGATGTCGCTCGCAATTCTGTCAGCGTGGAGTCAAAAAATGAGTAGATTATGCGCTATTATAGAATGCAATCTATCTGTTCCTTATATCATCTAGATGCGTTAAGCAGTTCTTTAGTTAAGTAGTAACAGCCATTCATTCCTATTTTCATTGTTAATTTTAGCAAAACTATTATATGAAAAAAAAAAATCTGGCTAAAACGGATCATACATAGTTACAGTTAAAGAGCGCCATCTATTATTATTTTAACACATTATTTTCCTATTCATAATTGCAATGTTTTTTAAAAAAAATGTTTTAAATCACAGACTGCCTTTTAAATTAGTTTAGAATTTGTAATTTCTTGTTAAATCGACCTCATTAAAATAATACGAATTATACAAAGAAAAGTTTGTAAAAAAAAAAAATTTAAGGTGAATTATTTATGTCAGGATATCGTTTATATACATTTTTTGCAAGTAACATTTCGAGCTATGGACAGATCTAAAAATATTTAAATTAGAACTTTGTATTAGTTTTACGATTAACTTTGACCTGCAAGCAAGATTACAATATGTATGGGCGACGCTAGAAGAGTGCAGAGGGGGTCAACTATCCCTCCCCTACCCCTAAAGAATCGAAAAATTCTTTCATAGATATACATCTACTTAACCACTAAAAACAATAAAATCAATTAAAGTTGCCCCTTCTAAATGTAGCCTAAATCATTGGCCGGCAAAGTACATGCCAAGATGTGTTCTATTTAAATGACCCTAAAATTACTTTCTTTTTTTTTTACATCATAAGGTGGGAAACGAGCATTTGGCCACCTGAATCCGCCAAAATGGCGAAGCGACCGCGGCCCATAGACATCCGCAATTGCAGATGCGTTGCCGACCCTTATCCGACGGAGGAGGAGACGCACATAAAGAGGATATTTCCCCTTTCTAAGCATCTCCTCCACCGTCAAATCCACTTCCCCTTCCCATCCTCTCCTTATGAGAAAAGGGTGGTAAAGAGGAAGGGACTTAAATTAGGCCTCCGGTACCACACTCATCAGACAAAACACGGAATTGATTCCATTTCACGCCTATCTTCTGTGTGGTCGTGGTATTACTGGGGGCGTGCCGGCCCTGCAGTGCTAAGATGTTAAAGCAGGCACTACCACTGTTTTACCACTACATTCTGAAATTATCTATAGTTACAGTATAATTGCGAATGTTACCGCGGCTCGTTCGCCTTTACCTTATTAAAAAAAAACTTCAAATGTCAAAGTGACAGTTGACATCACAGACCATAAAAATGATCAGAATAAAAAATCATTGCGGCAGACGCGTTAAGCATATGGAAATGTTATTTGGTAACAAATGACACGAATACAACAAAAAGCCGCTACGGTATCAGATACCAGGCTAAATTGATTATGATATTAACGCGGGACCGCTAAAGAAACAAGTATTCACTTTATAAATCGGCCGAGTCGAGGCAGACTGTACGCACCAATCCGGTTTTACGAAAACTTCTCAACTAACGAGGCTGATCTGTTTCCATCTATTGTTTTAAAATAAAAAGATTTTACTTTAAATTAATAATTTAGTACTTGATTTAAAATTTTTGTAAAACAAAGGACGAGTAAATAAATTAACTTTTAAATAATCTTACTATCTCACTAATATTATAAATGTGAAAGTTTAAATGGATGGATGTTTGTTTGAGTTTGTAGCCTAAACTGCTAAACGGATTTCGATGAAATTTGGCATAGATGTAGAATATAATCTGGAAGAACACATATGCTATTCACTTTTGTTTTTTTCAATACCACGCGGACGGAGTCGCGGGCGAAAGCTAGTGTATATTAAATTCAAAACACCAATTTAGCAGTACACTAAGGACCGATTTTATGATAAAATGTGGCTATGTTGAAGAAAATGCGATTTAGGAAACAAAAGCAACTTCCGTTCAATCGCAAGCTTAGCAGTATAACATAACCTTAATTTTATTACTTAAATGTAACAATAACAAGAGAGACATTACCAGCGATATTAAATTTTAAATATCAACGCATAAATAAGATGGACCTTTGCAAAAAAACGTATACAAATAAATAATAAAATAAAATTGTAATCGAGGAACGAATGCACCAATACGTCAGACATCAAGGATGTCGGGTACGCCATTTCGAAATGGTCATCAACCGCGTAATGAACTTATGTGTATTTATCACTTCGCACTTAAACGATCGTAATTATTATATGCAATTATGCTATAAATGCAATTATATCACTTTATACGACGCGGCGATACTTTAGAGGGCTTTGGTTTGCTTCTACTGTACTATTCTGTACTGCTTTTTTACCAACATCTACAGACTCTTGGTCTATATTCTTTTTTACACAGTTTGTACCTTTCTTTATTTCTCTTATTCTGTTATTTTTTTTGTTTTTTTTTTTTAATTGAATACAATAAAACAATGTACTGCTTGTGGTGATGTATTTATTTGGTGTAAGCTTCCACTGTAGAAAAACTCGTAGAAACACATATTGTCATCCCTTTTATTCCTCTTAAAGGAATTATGTTCCAACACTTGTTTACCACCAGTGTAAACTCACATTTAGTGTTCGTTTTAGTAAGCTTAAAAATGTTTTAATTTTTGTTTTGCTTCGGGCATTCTGCGATTTTGTGGATATAATTGATTGTAACAGCGGATGTAACTCGATAAAATTCATGTTTTAGAAAATTTAGAAAATTTTATTCAAGAAGATTTTGTTAACACTTTGTCATTACTGAAATATTGAGGATTTGTTATAGTTTAATTTGATTTTTTAATTGAAGTTATTTGCTTAGCGATAAAACAAAACAATGCTACAAGCGAGTCATTGGCCTTACTAATTCGACATCGTATGACGAACAAAAGGTAATCAATGGTTATTTAGCCTGTCATATAGGCCACTGATGTTTTTTGAAAATTTTACTTTTGGATTTTATTTCAGTATTTGTCAGCTATGTTCAATTTAGTAGGAACTAGCTTTCGCCCGCGACTCTGTAAAAATAGAAATCTGGTTGTTTTAAATATTAATTATTTATATTAAAATAGTAAATCTTACAAAGCTAAAGATAGTGTTCTTATTCGAAAATGTTCGCAACAAACTAAAGAGAGTCAATGTTGTTCTATAAATGACGCCCACATGCCTTTACCGTAGTCATACTGACGTATTTACAAGTTGATTAACTGAGATAAATGAAAACGAAATGTGTAGCATGTGTAGTAGACTTCCACTATTTTAGTACTTTACTAGCGACATCTATTTTAAGTTCTTTTAATAAAATTGTTTAGTAGTGTAGAGTGTAAATGACAGATGGCACTAATTGAATTTAGGTTTGGTTTTCAGGTTCTCCAAAGTGGTTACATTTTGAGATAAAGGTACTTGTTTCTTGTACCAAACACAAATATTTCTATTTTTTAACAAAATCACTTACATTTTAAAAGGAGTTAAAAATATCTCAGAGTTTTATTAAATTATTTGAAAAGGTAAAATACTGCCATCTTTTGTTAAATGCAGAAAGCCTGCTAAAGTGATTTATTAGCTTGCGTGTAGATGTCGTTGTAACGTATAATTGTCATAAAATTGCTCTTCGGCAACATTATACTCATAAGAATGATTTTGTATACTATTACTTTTTTTTATTACTTTTTTTATTATTATAAAAGTGAATATCCTATTTTCAATATGTATTGTTATATTAGTTTTACTAGTCTATTTTTTTTAAATTTCCGCTATCCTGACCGTCACGCATTTGCCGAAGAAACAAATCTTTCATAGATGAGTTATTAATAAGTCGGTGTGATAACAATTAACTTTCTTGTTAGGTATTAAAATATAAAAGCAATAAACTACTTTATTTGTTTTTTAAGACGAGTAATGTAAAAACAGAGTGACTTAGACAGTTATGAATTAAAATTATCGCCATCTGTTAGATGTACTTTAAAACAAAGTTTAAAAAAATATTCCTTTAATTTTTTTAAAGAACGCTATCATTGTAGTTGCAGGGATTTTGGTATTCTTCTCACTTGAGCTGTCCCGATTTCACGAATATGCCCGTTCACATTATTTCCTTAAAAAGTACACAGTTTTCGTTTTACATACTAATATAATACTTGTTTGTTTTCTGCTCTCTTGTCTCTTTAATGATAAAAATAAAATTTGTTTAATATATTGTTGTACTTTTTGCTTGATATAGGCACTAAATGCAATAAAAAACAGGGTGATATAGTTTAGGTAGTCAAGACTTCAGAAGATTTTTTAGAGTCACAAAATGTATACAAATGAGTGTCACAATAAATCATTTATTCATTGCAAGCTATCATCAGCGACTTCATCCGCGTGGTATTCAAAATAAATCGTTGAATAGCCTATCTCCAGACTATGCTTTACATCTACTCCAAATTTAATGGAGATCCGTTCAGCCAATTGGCAACTTCTAACAAATATCCATCTATACATACAAACTCTCAGATGCATAATAATACAAAGATTATTTTATTCTTAATATACTAGGGGATTTGGGATAAGACGCAGAGCGCCAGTAACAAGACGAATATTTAAGATCCTATTTATTGATTCAATTTGAACTTCGAACTCACAATGAAATGCAGCACAGTAAATCACAAAAAAAAATCTCAAACCTTTAATATTCTTAAAATACGTGTAACGTTGAAATGGGTACATAAATCAGGTTTCTACTACAACATCGATAAAGTTGACAAAAGACGATTTTTAATAAATTTTCGACATCGACTTTTAGCATTTGGAAACAAATGCCGCCAGATTGAATTTGAGCAAAAAGTTTTGATTAAAAAAATAATACGGTTGGCTTGTAGTTAATTAGATTCATTATTAAAAATACACAGCGGTTATTTATGCAGGATTAAACTTACGTTATACACAGTGAATAGACTTATTTAAAATGTCGTACAAGCCACGGGCGGGCGCTTACACCTTTTTCGTTACGTCACAATCGAATCGAACAGATCCTCGTTATTGGTTACAACGCCATCTATGTTTTTATGTGGCAACGCAACGAAAGAGATACAAAAAGCGCCGTGACGCCTCTGATATGACTTTCTCTACGTAGCAGCGCCACAACGCCCTTAAACAAATAGAATAAATGTATATAAATTAGCTTATGTAACAAATAAGCTTAAATGTATATAATACTGAGGCAGAATTACATCTTAACTACGGCGTAACATTAAGTGTGGTACGTGGGATTAGACACGAGCGCAAGCCCTTATTTTAAACGGACGAATGCGATATATAATAATATTTTGCTTTATATCTATGTATCTGACGCTAAAACATCTATATAATGTATTACTTTTTGTACATCTACTTATACATAATCGTACATACACTCACTAAGCTTACATCTGCCGTGTGCTCACAATGTGCGCGTCTGTCTGATCCAGACGCTATATAGTCTGTGACGTTCTGTGACTAGATACTGCGGCCTCGGCAATGATTCCAACGTGCCACAGACCAATGCAAATACAAGACGGGGCACAGTTTGAATACACGGGGTTTAAGTGGGAACTAGGAGTATTGTCCCGCGGGCGAACAAAGATCAATAGTGAAAAAAGGGCGAACAAAATATAACAAGTAAATAAAAATGATCGCGCATGAAATAAAAAAAAATTGACTAGAACGACTGCTGTCCAGGGTTCACCCGCACCGGCTTTGCCGCCCGAACCTCCGCTAAGTACACGATAATTATTAAAATATATTTTCGCATTTTATTACATAGAATTTACGTTATGATCTACCTAAATTAGAAAAAAAAGCGGGTTTCAAAGATTAAGAAAATTTCAGGTTGGAATGTGTACGCGGAGCCTAAACACAGCATACAATGGACGTTTGTTCCACTCACCCAAGGGACAACGCCCTGCGCAGTTCGTGCAAGAAATATAGACTTAACTTAACTAAGTTGAGATCGATTTGAAAAGTCTTAAGTGTTCAATGTTACCTTAAAAGCTTGAAAGAGAAAGACTCGCTTGGACATTATCACTTGGGCCGGGGCCTCGAAAACTTAATTAACACTACAAGGTGACTTAAGACATCTAGGGACACTAGATGAAAACTTATATCTAAAAATAAAATAAAAAAAAACATTTTGGTGCAAACATAAAGTAACAAAACGTAAAATAATATCATCAACTAACCTCTATCGTATGAGAGATTTCGAGTACCGCAACATGTATGCCGACTAATCACACAAGCTTTTAAAATATTAATTACATCTCTAATCCCCGCCACCGGACACGAAGAAGTCGTAGATAGAAATATACACACACATTCATTCCATAAAGAATTAATTTTTAGGGGACAAAGTACGCGGGACACGAAACACAGGAGCCTACAGGGGATTGCTAGCACACATCACGAAATATCTCATCTTACATAAAAACTCGCCATAAACATTTAAAATAAACAGCGCGATCATGTTTAATTAAAAGGATTAAAACTAATTTAAACATAATTGTAATGTTCAAATGGCTGGTTTAGTAAAAGATAGAAGAATATAGAAGAGTGAAAGAAGTGAGTCCGGTGGGAGAGGGGAGCGTGTGGGAGGGACAGGAGATGGTTTACTCCTTGACTTCGAAGTATTTGTAGGTGGGGTTCTCGTAGCCGTTGATCTGCATGTTGGCCACGTGTCGCTCCTCGGGAGTCGGAGCCACGGCGCCGGTCTGCTCAACCTGCAAAACGGAGAACACCAAGATTATTATTAGATAATACATGTTCCCATGTTCCCCTACTCTTTTAGCCTATGATGCCAAGCCTTTTATAAGTTTGTACAAATATCAACGTGGATACATGTGTGCCATTAGCCTTTGAACTGTAGATGCGTTTATGACGGGAGATTCCGTAGACGTGTTTACCTGCACGAAGCCCTGTGCAGCGGGGGCGCGGTCGCGGCGGCGGGCGACGGCCAGCGCGACAGCTGCAGCGGCGGCCAGCGCGGCGCCGCCAACGCACAGAGCGGGGTACAGGGCGCCCGACCCGCTGCCGCCAGGGGACCCGCGCACCGTGTAACCCTACAAGGTAATAATCACCAATGACTATACTATTTCGTAAACAAAAGCGGTGATATAACAAAAATAATAAAAAACAAGGGTTGCCTCTATAAGAATAACGTTAAACTTGGAAAAGTTGTACTACTTAGTTTTGTATGAGAAATCTATACTAACAGGCTGCTTGAGTAGTAGCTGGAATGTCTTCGAAGTGTAAAGCTTAGAGAAATTAAAACTTTTTCAAAAAAAGATCGAAAATAAATGTTTCAGAACACCCATAGTTACTACTTACAGGCTGCGTGTGCTGAAGTTCATGTTTGAGTGCGTGTGCGGGCGGCGGGGGCGCGCGCTCTTCAGCCTGCTCCAACGCCGCGCGTAGTCCTTCGCCCTCCGTCTGACGATATAACAAGAATATCACAAAACCGGTCATATTATTTCAAATCACATAATCTTTGTTGTGTACGAGTAAGACGACCTAACGAGGAAAAGAAAATTACATCCAATGAAATTTTCAATTTGTCGTGTTTAGAATGACTTATTGATAGTGTTTTGTTCGGAATGTTAGCATGGTAAGGGCATATTAGGAGGAGGGATGAATCGCATGTAACAAGAAGGACGATAGTCATGTGGGCATCGGTAGATGTAGAACGAGATGCATGGATTGCGTGAAAGAAGGGAGTGATGACTAAGGTGCGCAGACACTATGGAAGAACGACGATAAGGCAAGAGAGATGTTTTGTTCGGTATCGTACCTCGCTAGTGGATCGTCGGCTGGATGTCTCGCCAATCTCACCGGTCTCAGTCTCGGTCTCGGCCGCCTCCGTCACCGTGCTCGTTAGAAATTCCTAACAAAAACAATGTTTGTTATGCAATTTTACTTTTTTCCACGTTACTATGACTTGTTTTTGATATTTATGAGGATAGGATTCCTTTTTGCGCACTGTGTACTCACAGTGGTAGTAGTTTCCTGCGTGTAGGCCAGGCGCGTGGTGGCGTCGCGGGCGATGGCGGGGGAGGCGGGCGAGGCGGGGGAGGCAGAGGAGGCGGGCGGCGCGGGGGAGGAGGGCGGCGAGCTGCGGGCGGAGGGGGCAGCCGTCGTCTCCTCCGTCTCGTTCACCTCATTGGCCTCGTCGTCGATTTCATCGCTCTCTTTCACACCGTTTGAAGTCTGAAAGGGACGGAGTTATACGATAAAATGTTTGATGTACTAAAACAGATTTTATATTCAAGCTATGTGCTTGGCAAAGGCTGTATTAATTTGCGGAACTGTACCATTAGGCTTACCAACAAGCGAACCTAGGCTTATAAGATCCTGGGATTTAATACTGATTGACAGTATACCTTGATCCGTTCGTTCTGGATGTCCTGTCGCTGCCTAGTGCGCTGGTCGCGCTTAGCTCCGAGCTGATCGCGTGCCGCCTGCTCGCGCTGCACCTCCGCCTCGATGCGGTCCAGCAGCAGCTCCTCCGCTTCAGGGGTCATCGACATCAGAGACACCGCCATATCGTCCTTGGATTGCATCGACTGGAATAGAGTGATTAAAATTGAATTAACTCCAAGTCACGTTAAAAGGTGTTTGCTTTGAATTTTTTATAAAGTACCTGGACGTAATCTTCAATAGCGGTTCCAATGCTGGCGTACAGGTGCGGGCGGCGACGGAGCGACGACAGAGCACGTTGCAGAGCGCGGTCAGCATCCTGTCATTTTTTTTGTCGTCAAATCCAAGCTTTAATTGAACTACTTAAAAATAAGTGATAAAACCGAAGTGTTCTGACCTGGAGACGGTCGGCGGCAGAAGCTCGTTCGGCGGCGGCGGCTTCCCTTCCAGCTGCTGCAGCGCGGCGCCAGGCGGCTAGCGCACCGCTACGTTCAGCTGCAAGCGCTCGCACCAGCCGTTGCAGGCACTTCTGGACACGGTGAGCCTGGACAAAAATGTTACTTATTGTGAAAAAGATTACTTTACTTAGTCTTACTTATTATAAATAGCACTTAGTCTTTGCTTTCTTAGTTTTTAGCGTAATCTCTGAAGTATGAGCTTACATTAGGCGGTGTGTCGCGCAGAGAGCGAGTGTAGCAGGCGAGCGCAGTGCGGCGGCGTTGAGCAAGGTGAGCCAGAACACGTTGCTGGTGCAGGGCTGCCAGACGACGTCGCTCCGCCACGCCTTCTTCCTCCAGGGACTGGAGAAGCAGTAGTTAATATTAAGCTCTACGTTCAGTGTCATAAAATTCCAACTGTAATAACGGCTGCTAGAAACAAGTCTGAGGATTCCGGCTTCTAAATAAGGCAAGATTTTACTGGATATAATAACACTCCTTAAAACATTTAGCTATTATATTAGCCATTATCCAGCACTTTAAGATACTCTTCAGCTAACTGACAAGCACTTTTGGCACTCAGATATAATCATTAAATAGTTTACCTGAATATTGGCTTGGAACTTGGCGGTCATGCGCTGACGGAAGGTCTGTGCAGCGGCGGGGTCGGTGCTCATCATCTGCTGGTAGCGTTCCTCAAGTTCGGACCACTCCTTCATAACCTTTGTGATCTGCGACACGCAAAGTTTTCATTGTTAATTGTTTTACTCTCTGGTCTACTTTTTATTTTAATGTTTATGCAACCTCTGTTACCTTCTCGCGATGAGTTTCCTCGAGACGTTGTTGGGCATCCTTGTAGCTCTGGTGCTCAGTGCGGGGATCGAAGTGCGAAAAGTATGGGTCCGAGGTTGCAGTGGAAGCCTGGGAGATCATAGAGAAGTTTGAAAAATACTGTCAACGGTGCTCAGTTTTAAAATCATTATTAACCTAGAAGATAACGTGATTTTTAGACTATTTACGAGATTGTCTAGTTTGTATTTAAATAAACGTTCTTCTAGTATCTTGTTAAAAATCGTTGAAAATGTAAAAGAATTAAACTTACCACAGTGGTAGACGTCGTCGTGGTAGTAGTAGTCGTGCTGGTGGTGGGCTGCGGCGAAGAGGTCTCGGGGCGAGGCCAGGCGTTCTCATCCCCATCCGTGTAGTCGTCGTCCTCGGCATCATCATCACGGGACAAGTCAGTATCCTCATCTTCATCCATATCTAAACATTGTTACATAATTACAATTTCCTATCATACATCTAGGTATAAATAATGAATTAAAAAAAGGATGCTCACCGAACTCACCGTCATCGGCATCGTCATCATCGTCATCATCGCTCAGGTTGAGTGTATCATCATCATCATCAGCGAGTGAGTCTTCATCATCCATTAGTTCATCATCACGCTCGTCCATCGCAGCGGAAGCGGCCAGCATCTCCTCACCTCCGGGGCTAACCGGTACACCGACGTCCATGGGCTTATGCATCTTGACATTTTCTGAAATTATTATAATCTTTTTAGCGATTACATCGTAAAATAAGACCTCAAATATTACAATAAATTGTCAAATTTTCATAGAATAATTACGTATCAATCAATTTAGTGAGTTAGATAGGTTAAGACGACAGCAACAAGAATAGGAAAAGCTGACCTTTGAAATGCTTGGGGCAGCAGACAAACTCGACGCCGGAGAAAAGGCTGATGCCACAGGGCAGGAGCATAGCGAAGGTACGGAGTCGTAGACCACGTTGTGCGCATGCTCGGCCCGCGGTCGCGTTCCAACGAGCGAACTGCCAGCAGCGGCTCTGATTGTGGATGTGATCGAACAGACAGCTCTCGGGCACCAGCAGCGCGTCTGATTGGAATGGACCTTCTGCCGACAAATAGCCTTTGTAGTTCTAGTACATTATCCTTACCTACATCTACGTTAGTTTCACTTTATATTCAGGCACTAAATTACTTAGTTCAGCGTTCATAATTATAGATTTGTCTTAAGCTTTTACAAATCTTTAAAGTTAACTAGGACGATAGGATACAATTTAATTATGGTATATCCATACCAAGACAACGGAAAGGCTTGACCCAGCGGTTGACTTTGCACTTGGCGGCATTGCTGGAGCCGAGCTTGCACCAGTTGCTCACTTTGACGTAGTGAGACGCTTCCACGATGTTAGTGATGTCATGGCTGGGGTACACCTGAAAACAAATATAATAAATGTAAAGCACGTGATTAGTAAAGCTATGCACTTTTGTTTTTTTAATCAAATTATAATCGTAATCTGGAATATTTCTGTATTTCTAGTGTTTTTTCCTGATTGTATAGATCGATTCATTTGTGTTCTTCTATTTCTATCATTACCTAGACTAAGAAGGTAAAATCAAACCTTTTTATTTTCTCGACGTCGTCTTCTTATATATCTATTTAAAAGGCCAAATAGTCTAAAGTAATATTTTAACAATTCACAACTCCTTTCATCATTTAATTACAAATGGATCAAGTTACGGAAAGTCGGGCTACGATTTGATTTCGTTATGATTGCTAATTGTTTATTTGACACGAGCCAAACAACGCCGCAAGTCGATCCAGCTTTGACTAATGAATTCACCCAACATAAAGCCGATGAGTCGACGACCTACCAAACAGAATAATTAATGGAACTTTTCGCATGATGAATTATAAGCAAGATTACGCCTAAAGTTTATTGTTACACAACGGAGTTGATAGAATGTAACTTGTATTATTTTATGAAAGAATTATTCTAAAAGTTTTTGAGAAGTTTTATTGGTACTATTTGAAATCGTGGTTACCTTTTTGCAGTAGTCGAGGATTTCCATCTTGTCCTTTAAGCAGTTGTGAGGTTTGGTGGTGAGGTCGGGCGTCCATCGGCCGGCGGCGGACATGTACTGCGGGTGGTAACCGGAGCCCGCATCGCAGAGCACCGCCACCTGCGGCTCCGCACCGCTGCTTGCCTGGTACAAGAAATTTAATTAGCTCATCTATTGATTCTAAATGTAGCTTACAATGAGAACGGGCGTACACCTTTGTCTTAACGATTGTCGATTGTTTTTTAGTAAATTCAACTGTTTAGTTGCAGAACTAAAAATCGAGTAGTGTATCCATATAAGCTTATAGGACCTAAAGCGAGACTAAAATGTTGTGATAATTTAGTCAGAGGTGTTCGTGCGCCTTTAGGGTTGGAAGGATATGGTAAGTCATTTTCTCGTTGAAATATCAATGCAATACTCAGATGTAAATTAACTATAACTGATTGCTTTTATAAAATCATTAATTTTGCACGTGTCATTATTACTAGGTCATTTTAATTCCAATAAATATTGAATGAAAATTCTTTTATAACTTCCTACTTAATAGAATACATTAGCGTATAATTACCATAATTTACTTTGTCTGCTCTAAAAGACTCTTTATTTCATGTTCTTGAGCGTTAGAAATAACATTAATGTGTAAAAGTCCGATAAGAAGATAAAAATGAAGGTCCACTCGGCTTTGTCTGTAAATAAATTTGTCTCCGCCAGAAATGCCTTTTACGTCGGCGATAAAGAGCTCGTTTATTTTGAAGAGTTCGGATTGACAAGCGAATGGACCGCGCTCCAGACAAGATTAAGTTATATTCCCTGTAATGCGAGGCGGGTACTTTTAAATATTTTGTCATAGAATTTTTACTGTAATGCCTTCATGTTTCTGGAATTATTTATTACTAGCTGTTGCTCGCGACTTCACCCCGTGTTATAATAAGAAATAATAATATAGCCTACTTCTGATAACGTAGCTTTTTATAGCGAAAGAATTTTTGAAATTGGCCCAGTGGTTTTCGAGTTATTTCAATACATATAAAAATTCGAATCTTTCCTCTTTCTAACATCAGTCTACACTAAAAGTTCATCGACTTATAGCTTTCGTGGGTATTTCCATTTAGAAGCGGATCGTTTTTTTTTTTATTTGTAATCGATTGAAACGCGATAGGCACATAAAACGGGGGCATGATGACAAATACGTTGGTTTACCCCATGCGAATAAAAGCGTACATACAACGTGTTTCAACATATCGGTTACAGTCTTTTTACTATGACGCTATTATTTTTGTTGTTATATCCTTTTACCATTCGAACACGTTGTTAATTGTTACACGTATCTTTAGAAAAAAGAAATAGATGTTTTTGCACATGTTTCGTCAGTGGAAACTATAGTCAATGATTGTCAGTTTAATTTTAATTGCAGACACACAAATTATACAAGTTTTGTGAACTGATAGTGAATGTAAATAGCATAACAGATGTTGTTGGTGTTTAAAAAAGAAAGAAATGAAATATATCCAAAACATAATGTACAATAAGTTATTTGTAGTTGGAGTTTAGATAGAAAAGTATACACATTACCTGGGCGTAGGCGAATGTTTACTTTGGACTCAACATGTGTGCGTATTTGTTTTTTTATTTTGTTATTATATTTGTTTGAGGAATTCTTGATACATAAAAGTTACATAAAAAGCTAAGGTAAATAAATATCAAATCAAGCTCCAAGGTTGAGTAAATAAGTAGAATTGAAGTTGCTAAAAGTATTAAAAGTTGCTTAAATTTATCAACAACACTAAAACTAAAAACCAAATTAAGTTTTACTTAACGCCAGATAATAAAGACTGAACTGTAGGTTAAGATCCGGTTAGTTCAAGATCCAATCCTTCCATCACATAAGACCCGACTGCAGTAATTAAATTAAAGCTTAAAACACTAGGAACTAACTCAATTTGATCCCTAAGAGCGATGGATCTTAGAAGCTTCCTTAACACGGAGTTATAAGTCTTGGTTTAATAGAACGATATTAGTTCAGTGAAAGCCCGTCTTTAATATAAGTGGAGGCTAATTTAATTTAATTCCCGATGCAGAGCAATGGAAACTTTACTAATCCTGATTCATCAAGTTCCGATATAAACGGACAACTTTTACAGGGCGCTGAACCCTTTTCCTATAACGACTACAAATTGAGGTCTATTTATAAGAAAGCTACTGTCGAATTCATACGATATCATCATCTCCAGCTCACTATAAGTTCCCATTGATGGACTCAGAATTTAATATAAGTTAGAAGTGGCCCAATACGAGTCTGTTGACTTAAAACATATCTTTGAACTTTCTCGCCGATATGTGCAAGCATCACGACGTTTTCCTTCATCGTGAGAACGTCAGGTAAATAATATACATATGAAATTCCAAATCACATTGCTATATGGCGGGGTTTCGAATCTAGGACCTGTAGATTACAAGTAAATTATCTTAACTCCTCAGCCACTGACGCTCCATGTCCTCCATGTATCATAACATTTTATTACTTATTACCTTATTTGTAAGTTTTTGTGTGCAAGAATTTCAAAACTAATTAAAGCAAGAAAATTAAAATAGTGATATTTTCCTTGGAGCTCACCCAGTCTTTGCACTTTTGTCCCCCCATTCCGTCGCAGTATGCAGTTAATTGGCGACTTTTCGCTTCGCTATTTCAGCTCACTGTATCCCTTTTGGTTAATTAATTTTAAGTGTCCTCGTTTAAAAGTTAGCTTGTGTTTCTCGCAGACTCCAGTTCGCCGACAGATGTCCTTCTCCTGAGTTATTACTATCCTTCCTTAGTTGTCTCTTTTGGAGAATGTTTTTTTATTTAATTTACCTAGCAGGAAATCTCAGTTTTATAATTGTATTTTACTTTTCTTTAACATAAAAACACGGAAGGAAATGTTTATTTCTTTCTCTGTTTTGTCCTGTTAAATGATTTTCTTGTAAATCTTGTTACCTTTTAATCAGTTGAATGCGATTAAAAAATTCCGTTTATTTAGTTTAATGATAGTTGATTATATGATTTCAAAAAAGAATTATACATCAACATCTCACAACATCTAATGTAAAGTTACTAAACTAATCAAAGGATAAGCAAAGCACCTAGTACCTGAGAGCTTAGTATTGCAAATTGTACAAGTTGCCTCGTTAGACGACTGACAAGGAACTAACTTCATACTATGCAAGTTCGTCTATTCAAAAGGTATTTGTAATTTTGTGACTTGTTAGTTTCTCGCGACAATTTCTATGTTATGTAACCTACAAATGTATTTACGGAAAGTTAAGAAAATCGTCAACTGGTTTCCATGGTCCAAACAGTCAATTTGTTAGAAATATCGATATCTCTTTCATACTCTTACAAAAACATTATACCTTTCTTTGTCTAATAGTGTCGTATTGTTTGTTTTCCTTCCAGAAAATAATTATCGTAATATTAGAGATAAACATCATCAAAGATGTTATATCCAAATACTATTAATAGACAATATTATTTTGTATTTGCTTCACAAAATAAAACAAACGAAGTACAAGCGGATATAATATGAAAAGCCTTACTCAATTACTTTCTCCTTTTAAGAAAATGGCTATTAATATAACGTTACGAGTATTTGGAAAATTTAATAAACAGGACAATAACAAGACATATATAATTTATTACATAAAATGTACACAAAGACGTATAGTGTATTATAAAATACTAGCTAACGCTCGCGACTCCGTCTGTGTAAAATTAACAAATTAAAAGTAAACCTATGTTTTTTCTAAACTATGCTTCACATCTTTGCCAAATTAATTAAAAAAAATGTTTTTCAAAAATAATGAATTTAGTTAAAGTGAATTAAGTTTGAGAAGGCTAGTTAAATTTGCTCATAAAAATTACCGAAAACATTTAGATATTTAAATTAAAAAAAAAAATCGTATTTACTAAATATTTTTGAGATGTAAGATAAATGCAATGTTTCACATCTCATGTTCTACTACAGATCGAAAGTTGTTGACTTCATACATAAGTTACAATAAGTTATGTGCTTTAAATGGAAGTTTAATACGCTTATTTCGCGCATCTCGCTTATCGACTTGCGTAAGTTCAGCAACATGGGCGTAGGCTAAGTGCAAACTCTGATACTTGCCAAAGAGTTTCGCAGGGAATCGGCCAGTAATATAGTTCCCACTGGAACTCCGAGTTTCGCAAGACTTCGACTAATATAGTTCCAGAAACTACTAGTTTCATGCGGCTTTGATTGATCTTGCGATGTAGTTTTACTTGAATTGTCTCCAAAGGAACTTATGATCGACTTCAAACTATTATTGTACATTATAATATTAATTTGGTACACTTCATACTTTGTAATGACTAGCTGTTGCTCGCGACTTCGTCCACAAAATTAAAAAAAAAACAATATAAAATTAGCCTGTTACTCACTGATACCGTAACTTGTTAATGGTGAAATAATTTTGGAAATCGGCACAGAAGTTTTTGAGTTATTACAGAGTTGGCAGTTTGTAGTTTATGGTCCTTTTCCGCCGGAAGGTTATTTCCAATTATTTTTTTTTATAACATAAGGTGGCAAACGAGCAAGCGGCCTCACGAATCCGCCAAAATGGCGACGTGACCACTGCTCATAGACATCCGCAATTGCAGATGCGTTGCCTACCCTTATCCGATGGAGGAGGAGACGCACATAAAGAGGATATTTCCCCTTCCTATGCATCTCCTCCACTGTCAAATCCACTTCTCTTACCCATTCTCTCCTTATGAGAAAAGGGTGGTAAGGAGTAAGGGACTTAAATTAGGCCTTAAATTTACTCCCTAAGTTTAATAGCGTGAAAATATGTAACCCAAAGCGTGTGGTAAGTCTCTGACTTTTTAATAAAGAAGAAATTATTGAAAAACATTTTGTGATTTCTGGCATCCTACGCCACAAAGTAGTGTGTGTTTACGCTTTATTATATTAGTATAGATTGTATAGATGACATGGTAAACGAGCAAGCAGCCACATGAATTAAAAAAAAGCCACATGAATTTAAAAAAAAAAGTCATGTTTTTAAGTGGTTGAAGTAGACGAAATGTAATTTTTTAATGCATTTCACGTGCAAGATAAGTTCTTACGTGGCAAACAAGTATT